AAGCAGTTATTAATGAAAAGTTGTTTGGTACTACATCAACTCCACATCATCATGATTACAAATCCAGTGTCATAGCTTTACAAGCACATCTGCATTAATACCAAGTGTGTGAAGTTAGCTGTAGGTTCCTTTTCCTTCTACACTGTAATCCAACATTACTAGAGTAATGATTCCAGGTTATTTACTTAGTTGTAGTCTCTTGGAGAGAGGCAGGTTTACACTTGAGATAAAGCCTTGTGTGAGAGGGGTCTTGGCCCTCAAAATACTGACTGAGAAGTCTCTGTTCTTCAATACACTTCAATCTTTGTGCATGGCATTTGTTGGGTCACGCACCTTCTCTGATCTTTCGATCCTATGTGTAAAATAAGCACAGGAATAATCCCAGTCCTTTCAGGCATGTTTTTAAAATTTTAACTAGTCTTTTATAAATGCTTTCATAGAAACTATGTGACCATTTATTTACAGCTGTTTTCCAGCAAATGTAGTGCCATTCCCAACAGTCCTTGTAGTGAAGGTAAGATGAGCTTGCTTGCTTTGTTTGCTCTTCTGGCTGCAGTCTAGCAGGACAGCTCATCAGTTATCTGATTGCAGATTAAGACTGAAAAAAGCTTTTGAAGGCCAAATTAAAAATCCTGTTAGCCATCTATATTTTGAGGTTCAAATTTTCCTTTTATTTGAAATTAAGGAGGCACATACTTTTTAACTGTTTTTTCCTCTTTTTTTACCACTGTACCCAATGTAATTGTAATTGACAGTGGATTCAATAGTACTCACTGTAAGCAATTTATTCTTCTGTTACATAGAGTGAAGATGGACTTGCTGGAAATTCAGGAAAAAAAGTTATTTTTTTCCCCCACTTGATTTTATTTATCTTTTTGCCAAATAAGTCACTAAGTATAGAATAATATTTGTCAGCTGGACTTTGGATCCTCATTCACACAACAATAACTCTATGGTTTTTAGAGTCTTTCACAAACAATGTTAGAAAAGTGACCCATCAAACGAAAGTTTTTCTTTCTCTCGATTGAGTGTGCAGGTGCACACACATGCATGTGTGTTAATGTTGATAAGCAAGGGATCATGCTAGGTTACCTTTATTCAAAGTACTTCCAAAAAAAACCTCACTGTATTTCCTTCAACACCTGTGAGAAATCAATACTCTCACTTTTACATAACATGCAGTTATGTATGTGTCCCAGTGTGGCTGGGAAAGTTTTAGCTGTAGGATATCTAACTTTCAGCAGGCTCACACAGTGAAGCTGTTGGACTTCTTTGTAATTGTGTAATTCTGCCATATGCTGTTTTAACTAGCTTTCTTAATAAAATCCATAGATGCTTGCATAAAGTAAGACCACATCTTACCCTTTTGACAACCACCTTCTTTGTCCTGAAGTTGGAGGATTTCTCTAAATCACTGGTACTTCCAGCATTTACTTTGTGTTTTACTTTAAGAGCGTCTTCCTTTGACAAGTAGAAGGATGTTCATTTTTCATGCACAGGGTGTGGTCAGTCAGTTGGTGAGGATGCTGCGGTGCAGGCAGCTTCTTGTGGCAATCAGTATGCTGTGTTGCAGCACAGAACCAATAAAAATGTATAGTTGTGTGTTTGGTGTGATGGGTCAGTGAACCTAAGGAAAACCTGGTCTCGGCACATATGCCAGTATATGAAAAGAAAGCTTCTTAATTTTCCCACAAATAAACTCTATGCAGCCTATTACTGTATCCTTTACATCCTCGGGTATGATGATGGTCAGCAACCATGGCAGGCTTACATGTGCAAATCTGGCCAGAGTAGTGTTTGAAAGAATTCCACAGACTTTGTAACATCAGTGTTCCTGGGGGATAAAAGGACATACCTGCGACTTTTCTTCATAGGTGATGATTTCCCTTGCCTTTCTGAGTACCAAGGTTATTTATTGCTAGGAGTGTCACAGGCTGCATCTCTTTTGAAGGAAGTGCTGCTCCCTGAGAAGAATGGCTGGTTGTTTTAATGTATAGGAAAAACGTCTGTAACTCAAATGCTATTGACAGTCCATCAGACCTTAAGAGGCCCAGGTTGTTCTGGAGATTTTGTTTTAGCTTTGCTCCTTGAGCAGATTTGTCATCTCATAGATGATGTTAACTTCTTTACAATGTAATGCCCCAGACTGGACTGTTTGCCCATGTATTTGCTTAGAAGATTGCCAAAGGAATGGATGGAACAGCGGAAGAAAAGTTCCAGCAGCATAATCTCAGTGTATTTTCTACATGCCACATCAAACACCACTTGAAATTAAAAATAAAAATCCCCTTTCCCTCCTCCTCCTCCTCTAGGAACAGTCCTCTGGTTTCATTTTTTGGGCTTTGCTCAACTTTTCCCTGACGAGCTCTACAGCAGGCTCTGTTCACCAGAGCTGGGCAGCGGAGTCACTGGTATGACGAATCAAAACTGCTACAGCCTCTTAGCGGGGAGCGGTAACAAGGCTCCTTTGTGAGTCTAATTATATCCCCTAAGCTGGCACAGTGGCGCAGATTAGCTCAGGAGTCCATCGCAGAGGGCTGCGGGGTCCCATGCTCTGCTCTGCCAGCTTCGCCCGCTTTCACTGCAGACAGAGCCCATGTGGGTGCCGCTTGCACCCCACAGCTGGGGCCCCATCACTTCTTGCCCAGCCTAGTCCTGCTCCCTGATGTGGAAGCTGGCCCGCTGGCTGGGAGCTGTGCCCGGTCACCGAGGAAGGGATCTGGGGAGGAGGCATTTCCCAGCCCAGTGTCTGGGTAGGTACCTAGGGCTGCTCTGGGGAGGGAGAGGCTCCAGCCGGGCTAGCCAGGAGGCATGGCACCAGCACCTCAGCAGCTCCTCACCCCGATGGCCCGTCACTGGGATAAGGAGTGCTCAGGGTGCCTTTCTCTTGGCTTTTTCGTATCTTACTAACTTGTCTGTAGAGGAAGGAAAAAAAAAAAAGTCATGCAGGGTTGTCTTGAATGCCCCTGATTAAAATTTCATAATAGGATTGTTGGAGTCAGCAGGTGTTGAAGAGGTGAGGTGACTTTGAGAAGAGTATTTTGTGGTTTACTTGTCAATTTGCCTCCCATTTCTCATGCAGACCTGGCTTCAGCATACTTTGTGTTGCTGAGCAAAACCACTTATCTCACAGCAAGGCTGTGCACTGGGGTGGTTTGCACTTGCTGCTTAAGAGATCTATAACTAGTTTTCTTGGACTGGTCTCTTCATCCAGTGTGTATCTTCAGGACGAATGGAGTAGCAGAGTTAGTCTGATAGTGAAACTTAGTGTCAAAGCCTGAGAGTTTTTAAGTCTTAGGCTTTTATTGCTGTGAAAATAAAATTGAACAGAAGTTTCCCAGGCTGTCAGCAGCTTGCCAATATACAGAGGTTAGACAAGGATGCAAGGGGATTTTTACAGAACAGTGTAAGAGGAAACAAGTATGCTGATAAACATGTGAGACCAAAATTGTTTGTTCCTCCCTGTAAATCTAAAGAAGGGATTGTGGGATTTCTTTTTGGGAAGGAGAGGTATATGAAGTAGTGAGCAAAACTGGAAAAAAAAATCTTAAATACACTTGTCTTACACAGTTTTGGGAACAGAGAGGGGTTTAAATTATAAATTTGGCAGAGTGAGATTTTTTTTTTCCTCACTGCCAGTCCAGTCACTGCTTCCTGTTCTTGAAGAACATATGCTGTGAAGGTGGGGTGCCAAAGCAGTGTGGGCTCAGGATGTACTTCTGTCTCTATCTGCTTAGTGGTGACCAGACACAGCAGCCAGTTACATTAGAGAAATCCTTAATCTAGTGAGGCTGATGGAGCTTCCCTTCAGTGGGAGCTGCTGGGTTAGGAACTGCCTGTTGTATTTGTGGGGCAGGATCCCAGAAGAGTTATGGGCAATTTCTGCGGGTTACTGTTGGTTTACAATAAAGCATAATAACACGTAGCAGAGTGTTGGCACATAAAACTCATCACACATTTCTGCTGACCTCACTGAACTTCAAATAAAGCTATAAAATAGTAGAAATTTTGTTTTCCAGTTCATGAAGACTAAATCTAGTACATACAATGCGAACAGCTGAGTATTCAGTGTTAGACAGAGCTACATTCACTGCTCCGGGTTTAAAAATAGTGATGTAAGCACAACTTGCATGTGAGTATAGTCTTGCTATTTATTGTGAGATTATCCATAAATACCTTGCATCAGGATCTATACCTTGTTTTATGCAGGAAAAGTTCACAGATGAATTCATTTACTAAACTATTTAGTCACTTCTGAGGGATGCTGATAGCCCCCGTAGCTTTTTAACACATAAATTTTAGCAGCAGGAGTAACTACTTACGAGTATTAGCTAGACCGTTTTTTTCCTGTATTTCATAATCCATTGTAACTCATCTGGCCTTGGAAAATCATTGAGATAGTTTTGTGATTTGATCTCTTTGTATCCAAGCACATGTTTCAGCTTGTGGTTTTTTATTTTTACCAGATTGACTCTCTTGTAAAACTTATTCTTGGTGATAATTAGGGTAACTAAAGATTGAGGTCTGAAGGGGTGGTGTGAGGCGGGGTGAAGAGGAATAATCTATTGAAGATTTGTGTTGTTATTGCTGTGAAGTGATACTGTTTTCAGTCTTGCTCAGAAAATAGCTTTTATTTTGCTGTGAAGTGATTGAACACAGCTTTCAAGTCTAATGATGTTAAATTGAGTGCATATCTTGGCACATTCAGTTTCTGCAAAATGAGTCTCAAAGACTGCAAGATCATCATCCACTAAATAAAATCAGCTCTGTTCTGGGAATCCCAGAAGTCAGAGATGTCTGGTCACTTTTAAACTTTCAGCTCTAAGTGGTTTTAAGTGTTTTAAGGCTGCCGTACATCTGCTCAAAATAAGGCCTGCATGTGTTCCCAGGGTATCCAAATCAAAGGAAGGAGCATTGTTGCAGTTAATAGTTTAAGTAGGTTGATTTGGTTTGGTTTTTTTTTCATCAGTGTAAATTTACTGAGGACTTAGTGTGTTTACTCAGTGGCTGGACTGGATTGGGTTCTTCACCTGGACCAGTGACTTGGGCTGACGGCTCTGGGAGCTGCTGCCTGAACAGTCTGAGCTGTGAGAGTGGCACAGGGGATGGCGACTTGTCCGTGTCCGCCACTGTTTCTCTGGACAAGGAGTGAGGTGGCTGTCACAGGTGAATCTCTGGCAGAGGTATTGCCATTTTGATATTCTTGTGTTCAATGCATTTCTTTTTTGTGAACTCTCAGTTTGTGTCTGCATTTCTCGAAGGGTCTCATTACTGAGAGGAGTGTAGAAATTAAGCCTCCTATTTTCAGGATTCAAACATACCCCTCTGTTTCTGCATGTGTGATGGAGGGAGGCACGTGTGGGCAGGGGTGGAGACAGAGACAAGTCTCGGCACCCTGTGTGCAGGGAGGGACCCAGGCATAACTGCAATAGGAAGAAGAGCATTGCTGTCTCTGGATGACCCAGATACTCATCCTTAAGAGAGACAGTGCAGGGGAAGGAAGGTCATTCTTAGCCGTTTGTGCTTCTGTGGCCATCAGCTGGATCTTAGTCTTTCTTAACCACTGTGTGATAAGGATCAGCACTGTCTTGTAGCAGGAAGGGTTGAAGTTGGGGTCCAGCTTTTTTTCTGACAGAATAAAATGGCAGGAGATGAAGCAGGACATAGAGCCGACCCCAGTAGAGGGGCCAGCTTCTTTCATTTGGACAACAGCCCCTGTCTTTGCTCTAGGGATGGAGGGTGGTGGCCTTGCCTTTCTCTGGTCTACAGGCACAGATCTGCAGCCCCACAGGCTGGCAGGAGCTCTCATTGACAGCGGTAACAGCAGTGACAGTGTTATACCTGCCCGTGCAGATCTTCTCTACTTCAATTAAGAGTCTCTACACACAGTGCTGAAGGAATTGGGCCTGGATTAACATAGGCATAGGAGGAGAAGAGCTCATGCTCCAAGAAGTTGTGCGAAAATATCTGCCCTTTGCCAATGGAGAAATTGTAGATGGATACATAAGTGTTTCAGATTGTACTGCTTCTTGTTATAAGGTTGTTACAGCTGCAGTCATCACTTGGAGATTAAGAAGGGGATATAACTTGGAATCAAATAATTAGCTTCTCCACCTGAAACTTGAGCTGCCCCTGGGAGGCAAGGAGGGAGAGGTTACCTCAGAAGATGGTTGTGCAACTATAACTACCTTATGCCTTGGGCTTCCAACACATCAAGGCAGCTGGGATTTCATGCCCAAATTATGAGCTCTGTAGTGTGCTAAAGCTCTAACATCTGTTTTAATCTGAAAATAGTTATTATGACAATAAAAATCCTTTTTAAAAAAGAGTACCATATATCACAGAGTGATTTACAGTTGGATAACTATCTCACATTCAGTGGAATTTTCTATAATGGAATTCACTATAAATTTTTACATACATTTGTAGGTATAGTCCAGAAGGGACTCCTCCAGAAGAGGGTTTTCACACACCCTTATTTTTTTGTGCAGCAGTTTCTCCTTTCAAATCTCTTATTGTTCTGAGACCAAGATGCCTCAAGGGAAAATTTCTGCATTAAAAAGCTTATTCAGTTCTGTATTAATGTGGAAAAAAATGTAATTTTCTCTACAGTCTTGCACTCATCTTTTGTGTCAGTTATGGCTAAGCTCTGGACTAAATGGCTCCTGGATGCTGTGTGACATTACCAGTATTTATTTGGAAGATTACTTGAGAATCCGAAGTGTTATGTGAATAGGCTGAGAAGCAATATTTGACTACTTAACAAATGTAGTCTCTTAGGTGAGCAAAAAGACTTTATGTGGGCTTGTTGAGTTGGTTTTACTTCATATTCCAATGGTTTTTTCTGGCATAAAGGGCTATATTGTTGGTAATGGAGACCTGCAGTATTGTTCTACATATTTATTTCATTAAACATCCTTCCTGCAGTGCATCTGCTTTACCTGTTCCTTTTTGTGAACAATTTTACCACATAATGTATCATCAAGTTGCATTATCCTCTGTGTTTCTATGCCACCACTATCAGCACAGTTTCAACAGAGGTCTAGAAGTCCTTTCTAGAGGTCTTTTGGGTAGGGAAGTCTAAATTGGGCCACAGATTTGTCATTCTGTATGAATTCCCTTGCTGGTCCTGTTGCCTGGTATTTTCAGTATTCCTTCTCTTAGGTGTTGGTGAACCCAAGTAATTTCTGCTGCTGTATTTGGGGGGAAAATGTGACATGGCACTTGAAAAGGTTTTAGAGTAGCTGTGGGAAAGCCAGAATTTGACTGTTGCTCTGACATAGAAATAGTTGGAGGACTGATTTAGAATACAGATGCAGAAGTTCAAGAAGCGGGAAACTCAGCTGACCCTGGTACAAAACTGTTGGTCTTGTAACATCAGGACACCCATATCTCCTTTTCAGTGTGCAGCTCTTGATATTGCAGCTTCAGACTGGATAAGAGGGGATAGCAATCATTCCCTGAAGAAAACAAACTATTTGTGGCCAGTTTTCAACAGTTTTAGATTAGGAATAAGATGGTTCATTATTAGGGTTTGGTAGTGCTGTATCTTCTATATGTTAACATAACTTCTGCGTTTCAGAAGTTGGATAGATAATTCACACCTTAAGGAAGGGAGGTACTAGGTTTAATTTTTATGCATGGAATTTTATAGTTATGGTCTTTTGAATCCAGAAGTGTTGAGGGTAAGATTTTTGTAGACCTCAAGATACTGCTTTTGAGGTCTACAGGCTGGAGAAAGCTCAATTGGCAGTGCAGGGTATGTCAGGAGTAAATTGGCGTTGGGTGGACTGGAGCAGAGGGAGCTGAGAGAATCAGACTTTGTGTTGAGAAGAGTATTCTGTTTGGTGTTCTTGTCTGTGTACTTCTGAAATGTCCTGAGGATTCTGATGGAACAAAAGGCAGATCCTTCTCTTCCTGTACGTTCTTCATTCATGTTGAGGGTGAGTCAATATGCACATCCACACATGGTGTAGGGTTATATTTTTTTAAGCATACTGTGTTGATTATTCTTAGCTCATAGATAATGCGGAGATTTTGCATGTAGATATGTTTAAATTTTGTAGGTTTTGGAAGGTTCAGCTTTGAAGTCTAATTTGAATTCAGGCCTGCAAATTGTCCCTAAACTAAATAGATTTGAAGGCAGTTTATCACAACCGTTAAATAATTCTTAACAGCCATTGATACAGCTCTTAAGTTTATGGTAATTATCTAGCCTAATGCACTGGATTTAGTACATATTCGCTGTTTTCCTATGTGTTCTAACTTGATTACTAAGTGACTCCAGCACCATCTTCTATGACTGCAACTTTGCTTCTGACACTACAGTAGATACACAAAAAAGCCTGTCTGGCTGCCAATGTAAAGACACAGGTGGGAAAAGACTGTGTAGCAACGGGTCTACAAAGCGAGCGCGAGTTAGCCATGTTCTCGGAGAGGGGAAGGTGAGAATAGCCAACCCCAAACAAGTATGGGACGGGGGCTGTAGAGAGGATAGGATGCAAAGATGGAGGTGGTGACTGTGCTCTAGGGGGAAATCCAGGGAGGTGGCTGAGCTTGAGCAAAGAGCTGCCAGTGTGGAATGTGAGGATACCAAAACTTGTTGCAAGGAGCTTCTGCACTTGCTAGGGATTAGGAATTGGGTGGACTGCTGTTAGACCAGGCTTGATTGTTGCTTCATGGTTATTCAGTTCTTAACAGCTTTCCTTAATTAAGACACAATTTTCTTCAACTCTAAGGTGTTTTGAATACATTTTAAACAGAAAGGATGATAGTTTCTATTTGATAAGTTAAAGGAATTCACAAAGTTGATTAGGAGCCCAGCTTTCATATTTTCTGCTCATCAAAATAATTTAAACTTTGAAAAGAGTACTCTAGGGCAGTTATAGATTTGTTTTAGGATGACAAGGCTGCTAATGACTTGTTTCACTAAAATTCTGTTCTTTATTTTTAATTTCTATACATGGCTTTTGGTGTTGCTTGAGCCTACCACTGTTCTCTGTCTCAGCTGTTCATCTTCTGCAGTTCATGTGTCTGTGCACGCTACGTGCGTAGTCTTGGATGTCTGGGGTTTTTTTGCCTGTGGCTAATTGAGCTGTCACTGGACAAGAGGATGTAGGCAGCACGGGGTTCAGCTGTCTAAGGTCAAAGAAGAGTTTTTTCATATACTGGGTTTTCATCATTGATTCATTCCATTCCAGTGAAGTATGTCACAGGGGATTTTCCGAAAAGAATAGATGCTAATACGCAAGGAGAGGTGCTTCTGACAAACAGATCGGGTGCGTGCTGCTGTTAATAGAGAGAAGCAGAGTCTTGAAATGAAAACTTTGGTATGGCTTGAGTGTTGCCAGTAGTAATTTGAATTTGTATGTGTTAGCCCTCCTGTCTTTATTTTGGGAAACAATGCAGAGTTGGCAAACTAACAGTAATGTGGCTGTTGACAATTTTTGATATTAATAGCTTCACCCTTAAATTCACTTTCCTAGACTATTGAGCTGGCATACTAGTTTTTTAAATATCTTATAAGCAGCATTTGGTCAGTTATGATGTGAAAACATTTCAATTTAATCTTCAGCAGTTACCTAATATAACAGCCTTCAACATTTTTCATCCCAAATAAAGTTCCATTCAGGGTTGTATTCAGGAATACAGGTTTTGTATTCAATGAGTAAGCGTGAAAGAGAGGAGATGGTATGTGTTGTTTTTATAAAGCTCACTGTAGACCTGCAGATGTAGGCATTGCTTTAAAATACATACTGTGATAATATTTACCAGTAGTAGGTTTATTGCTCACCATGAACAGGCATTTTACACTTTTGAAGTTTAATCTCTATAAAAGTGAGGGTGTGATGTTTCCACACAGCTAACTTAAAACTTCAAGTCCTGATGTTTCTGCATTATCTAGGAAGGTCACATGTTTGTTGGCTTTTGAGAGGGGTTTATGCTGTCACTGTGTGGCTCACCCAAAAAAAGCCTACATTTACTGTCCCTCTTTGAAAGGACGTTTAAGGCTCTCCTGGATAGTCGGTGTGAATGCTCGCATGGAGTGTATGTTAGAAAAAGCATTTAAATTGCTGCTGTGTAGGCTCAGGACAGTGGGAAGTTGGGGCATCTGAGGCTGAATGTGAGTGAAAGGCAGTGGGACAGCCTTACAAAAAGGAAACAAAGCAGTTCAGGCTGTGATATGCTAGAAAGAAGCAGGGACATGAATTCAGAAGTGGGCTGTGGGTCAGGTTTTAGCAGAACATCTGTATATTTGGAATACCAAAAACTGGTGGTTGAAGTACAAAACCATCAACCTGGACAGAGAAGTTGTGGGCATATTTTGAATTCTGAAAAGCCTAAGGAGTGACTTTGCGTATATGTATAGATATGTATGTGCATATGTACATATCATATGTATATATATCTATATACCTAGATGTGTGTGTATATGTAAGTTTTTTTAATCATCTGTGTTGGTTATGAATGAGAGGCGGTGAGGGTTTACTTCAAAATACATTCTGGGAGTTTTTTAATTTGTGGGGGATCCTTTGTGTGGGATTGTTGCATGAAAATTTTTGAGGGGCTTTCTGTGTTTTTCTTCTCATTCTTTTGCATGTACGTCCTAACTCCCCCTTCCTTTTTCCATCATAAATGAGGAAGAAATAAGGTGGGAGAGTAACAGTGTTCAGGAGAAGTGTTCAACCTCAAGTTTTGGATGCTTTGTTCTCCTTTTAATATCACTTTTACCCATACCTGGTTTTCTGTTACATCAAAAGATACAGATGGGTATGTTGGGACGCAGGAAAATACTGAAAACAGCAAGGGGAACGCAGGAGGGAATTGTATTGCACTTAACCTAAAGGTTCTTTATGGAATTGGAAACAACCATTTGGGCCTAGATTAGGATAACTCATGGATGTATAGAATTATTGAGAATGACACAAGAAGCTGTTCATATTCCTTACGTAGTTTTTGCTGCTGGACCTTAGTCTTTTGCCAGATTTTAGATACATTAGATCTTACCCTGGCAGATAGGTTTCCCAGTGGTGACTAACGTAACAGGAAGTAATTTGAATTCTATGAATAGAGTTGCCTGAGAGAAAACTCCTCATGTCTTTGTCTGCAGAGGCAGATGACTCCTTCAGCACTCTGTAGAAAGGAATGTTGTCTGTCTATATGAAGGGAGGGTAAGAAGAAAGAAAGAAGACATTTTGACCAAATAAGTGCTCATTCCAAAAAAATATTTGATTTGTTCAGATAGCAATTTTAACTTCTTTTCTTTTTTGGAAAAAAAAAAAAATCAATCCTGTTCTAATTATGAGCTCCCAGGTTAGGCAGTTGGGTGAGGTCTTTACAAGCTGCAGGGAAAACTATGTTGAACGATTTTTGGAAGGAAAACTGGTGACATTGTTATTTCTTAATATTATTTGAGACCTCTGTGAGTAACTGGAGCTTCATGGTGGTTTTCAGCCTCTTTTTTTTTTCCCCCCAAGAATTCAGAAGACTAAAAATATCTGAATAACATTTTTCATAAACTGAATAAGTGATTTGATAGTTTATTTACCGTGTCTTTTTGCATACCCATTTAATTTCATTATGTGTTGGTCGTCTTGTGTATTTTAATTGATTGAGCACAAGATTGGGGAACTGCAAAAAAAAAAAAAAAACATGGCTTGGAAGGAGTTCCTTCCCCCCGCCCTCCCCAGCACATACAGATATATAAAAAATTGGTCAACGAAATGTTGGTATGTCTGGCCTAGTGTTATTTTAAAGGAGGTGAGGCAGAAAGCTGAGAACTATGAAATTGTTTGGGATTTATAAGGGGACAGACAAGGGCACTTGTGCTGTCAAATTCTTGAAATTTTCTCTCCAGGTAATGAAAAAGAAGGCATGAGCTGCTTGCTTAGGAGATCCCAAAGACTAAACTTCTCATAGTTAACTTGCATGGCTGGTGTGGGCTAATCCTGTCTGTAACTGGCTGTCTCAATGACTTAGGAGAGGGGTTTTT